CATAGTTCATCAGAACCCTTTTAGGAACTGGCATAGGCAGTGTGTCAAAAATCTCTACTGGCATTTGGGTCAATGTCAGAACCCCGGCTCGAGTATCTACTGGCATAGGGGTAGTGTCAGAACCCCTTCTGTTCTACTGGCATATAAGGATGCTATGGCATATTCAGAAATTTTAAACCATCTTGTGAGTTATTTCATCTACTGGGGTAGTGTCAGAACCCGGCTCAGTATCTACTGGCACAGGAATAGAACCCCGGTTTCGGTATCTACTGGCACTGGAATACTGCCAGAACACCAGCTCAGCTTGAGTATCTACTGACATAGATTCATTGACTGTTCCCCCAAGTTGCTAAAGTCAGTCTGATCACACCACCTAATGAAATTCAGAAAAGAGCCTGCAAATCACCTTGATAGCTGATCAAGCCTGTAATTCCAGAGGAAAATTTGATAAGATTGATTAAGGATGAAATTTTAATGAAACTCTCTCAACTGTTCTGTCTCTTCTCAAAACTTTTTTTTTTTTTTTGTGGCAGGGTTAAAACATAAATAGTCTGTCAGTATGTTTTTTTGTTAGCTTTCTGCAAACAATACCATCAGAAGTGAGGTACTTATTTAAGGAGCCCTTGTATCTCACTTAGAATTTGATCTCCCATCTTCATGAGCTATCAATTTTTTAGCAGACAGTGTTCTCAAAATGTGATCAAGTCAATATCTAAAAGTGGGTCAATAAATCTGTAACCTATTGTATTTTGATCTTAATTTTTCCCTGTATAATGTTCAATTTATTTAATTATTAATCTTTGTGGAGTGAACTGTGTTGACAAGAATTTTTTAAAGTGTGTGCATTTCATGAGGAAGTTTCTGTGCGTGTGTGCATTTGAAATGAGGTTTCCATTTGTGTGTGTATATGTACTTGACAATGACGTTTTTGTGTGTGCGCATCTGGCAAGGAAGTTTGTTTTATTTTTGTTGTTTTTACTGCTGTACATAATGTGATTTAATCTTATCAGATTATTTGTGTCTCTTTTTAGTTGATTTCCATAAAAATCCTAATAAAAGTTTCCTTTATTTTCAGTGAATTCTTCCCTTCCAAGTGGACTTGCAAGGTCTGACACAATTCACCAGAATCAGCTCCATTCTCCTTCGACTACCCACTGGTCCCTGTCCCTCTGATAGAGGTCAGTGGTGGACAGCCTACAGCCAGAGGTGTGAGAGACCACTCCCACTCTCCCTCAACAACTGATCACCACAGCCAGCCACATATGGTCAGTCTGACGGCCATCGCTCCTCAATAGCAAAAACAGCAATACAATCTAGAGTATCACTGGTACAACAACAGATGACTAGCCCCCACCCCTCCCCCCTCTCTCTGTGTCTGTCTAATATACTGAGATCTTTGCCACCGTCCACTGCAAGTAATATCTGGACAGGTGTGTTTTTACTGTGTGTGTGTTTGTTATTTGTATCCTTTTTCAACACCCACTTCCTTCCCCTCCCAAAAAATAAATGAATGGTGGACTTTTAAATTACAAGAACAGCCGTTGTGATCTACAGAATTTTCCATCAACTCACTCGTTCATCCATTTATTCACTTTCTCTATCTCCCTCTCTCTCTCTCTTCATCCAAACTGTTAACTCTATCCCACCACCCGTTAAAAAAAAAAAAAAAAAAGAAAGAAAAAAATAAAAAAAAAAAGAAAATAAAAACTGGAGAGAATGATGTTTAATTTATGATTTTAAAAAAAAAAAATTTTATTTTTTTTTTTTGTTCCCCACTTCAGGTGTTTAATCAGGTGATTCCCCCTCCTCAGGTTTTTAAATTATCAAACCAAAGATTAGCTGGTAGTTAAAAAAGAAAAAAAAAAATACTTCGATTTTAATTGATTTTTTTTTTTTTTTTTTAAAATTTAAAAAGATTTAAAGAAAGAAAAAATTCTTTTAACATTTTTTAAAACTCCCCCCCTCTTTTCTTTTTAAAAGTTTCTTTTCTCAAATCAAAAAATTTTGCGCATCCATTTTTGTTGTGAAACAAAATCATTTGACATGTCTACCGATTCTGATGTACATGGCTTGGGCTGGCTATCCATTCATCTAGCCACTCTGACCTTTCACCTGCCAATTTTAGTTTATCCATGAAATTGTCCTAGTGGTGGTGGTGGTGGTGGTGGTGGTGGCAGTGACAGCAGTAGTCAAAAACCAGAAACAGTGAGGGCCTCTTTTAGACTGCTGTTTTAGAAGAACAAAATAAAAACAAATAAATATAAGAAAATGTATAAACCCAGGGAGCAGGGGCTGGTCCTTGATCTGTCAGTACAGAGCACAGCACAGCAGGGGTGGGTGGGATGTGCTACCCGTCTTCTCCTACACGTCTTCCTTGGGCGGGGCAGCATCACATCGGTGTGACATCATTATTCATTCTACCAAGCGTATTGATCACTCGATAACAATGGCAAGAAGAGATGTCTTCAAGTGTCATTGTCTTTTTTTTTTTTTTTCTTGATTTCAAACAAACATTAAAGAAAAAAAAAAAATTTGTACAAACGCAAACACATGGTAAAAGGATTTTTTAAAAAAAGAGAAACTAAATGAACGATATTAATTTAGTTTAGCCAGGATTTGAAGAAGAAAAAAATAAGAAAGGTTGTCATTTCTATAAGCAGTTGGGTTTGTGATAGAATTGATTGATTTGAAAAGAAAAATCTCATTTTGGATAAGAAAGGGTTTTTTTTCTTTCCAAATTTTTTTTTTTTTTTTATAATAAAAAAAACCCGAACCTCTTATATTTTTTTCTCCTTTTTTTTTTTTTTTTTTTTTTTTTTTTTTTTTTAAATACACACAGACATGATCTATATACTTATAATGTAGACACATAACTTCACAATGCAACCTATGGGGTGAGTTCCCTCTCTCTCTCTCTCTCTCTCTATCCCATCTCATCCCTTTATTTTTTTTTTTTTTCATCAGAACTAAAAGAGACATTGAAAGAAAAAAAAAAAAATAAAGGCACACCTACAAAGAACAAATTAAAATTTCCTCTGAATGAGGATTATGATACAAGATTGAAAAAGAATGAAACAAAAATGTATTTCAAACAAAACAAAATTGGACAGTTGTAAAGATAAACAGAAAAAAACTCGATGAATTTGACAAAAAAAAAGTTATATATATATATGTAACCAGCTGACTTTGTGCACATTAATTTAAATATGAATTGAGAAAAAATTTTGAGGTAAAGAAAAAAAATTATATATGTGTGTGTGTGAAATATTTGTGTGCATATATATATATATATATATATATATATATATATATATATATATATATATATATAATAAAAAAAATAAGTCACATGAAAGAGTTGTATATATATAAAACAAATCACAAAAAAAGATTCCTTGGAAAAAAAATAGTGATTTTGTTTTTTGAGTTTTTATTTTTATTTTCATTTTTTTTTTTTTTTTTTTTTTTTTACAGATTTTTACTCTGGCTTTTGATTTTTATTTATTTTGATTCTCTCTCTCTCTTTCCTCTATTCTCTCTCTCTCTATCCATTTTTCTGTCTTCTCCTCTATTCTCTCTCTTTCTGCCCCATGAGTCTTTCCCCTATTTTTTCTGTCTTTCTCTTCTCTCTCTCTCTCTCTCTAACCTTCCTTTTCACTTTCTTGATTTTTTTTCCTCTCTTCTTTATCTCTTTACATGCTTGGGTGAGTGGATGAGGTCAGATGCATGACTTACAGATTTTTTTTTTTTTTTCTTCTTTTTCTTTTTTTCTCCTCTCTGTCTTCTCCTCTTTCTCTTCCTGCCAACACATGGTTTTGTTTTCTTTTTTGCTGTATATATTTGTAAACTCTAAAAGAAAATACAACTTTCCTCTTCTTCACCCACATTCATATTGGAATATTTAAAACAAACTGTATTCAGACACAAAACCATAACATCTTTATGATTTCATAATATCAACACAAAATTTTTTATAGCCCAAGAGCCGCTCAAGTTAGAGTGTTACTGAATGAGATTGTTTTATTGAAATAAGAAGGGTTGGATACAAAGTGTAGATTTATGAGGATACATTGGATAGACTTGAAGAGGTTAAGAGTGTAGTGACTGGGGAAGCATTCCCTCAGGAGTCTAAAAAGTAGCTGTTCTCAGAAAGAAACAGAACTTTCTTCTTATCAATGGAATATGAAGAAAATGACAATGAATTCACCCTGTGCTCATGGTATGTTGGGTCCAAGATGTAAAAGTCTGAATTGGTGGAACTAAGCAATATAGCTTGAATATTTTCATGGAAATACTGATAGAGAAGTGATATGCTTGTGACCTTTTCATCTTTGGGAAACTGGTTGTATGGTTGAAAATAATTCATCACCCACATTCATCACCTATCAAGGCTAGAATGTGAGTATTGGGCACCTCCAGCCCAGATATGGCAGCAGTATTATATTTTTGGTTTGATTTAATTATTGTAAAGATATAGTCTATGTCGGGAGCCATTGGATACTTTCAGGTACTGACCATTTATCCATCAAGAAATAATATGATTATTACACATTCAGTCTTATGGTTCTACTACAAATACATACCGAGTAACTAAGAAGTTTATGGTGCAAAATAAGCATGAATGTCAACTAATTTTTTTCTTAGTAGCAAACACAGTTGTGGTGGTGGCATTTACTCTGCTCATGATGTGACATTGAAAGGATTTAAGATTTTATTTATCTGAAGGTTGGATGTGGCACAAGGGTTTCTTTTTTGTTTGTTGTTTTTTTTTTTTTAAATTGTTCTATTATGTTATTAATTATGAGTCTGACTACCATGATGATGATTTAGTTGAAAGCCTGGACCATATTTATTCCAAAGTGAACTCTGGATAATTTCTAACAAAATTTCTTTATCTGAGAGAGATCATTCATTCTTTAGAAAAGATGACCAGTAAAATTCATTGACACAAAATATCTCATGATATATATATATATGTATATATATATATATATATATAT